AAAAAGTAATATTTTCTACCATCTGAATTATTACTATCTATATCTTCGAATATATCTTCGTTTCAAACAAATAATTTATTTAAACGAAGATATTCATTGTTTCAAATTCAAACAATCGTACTTATTGATTTAAACATTGGTTTGTTTGGACTATTCCAAATAACAAATTTGTTCGAATACAATAAAATTTATAGAGTCCTACCGAAATTTCGGTTTTAGTTTCCGTTACGGCCAGTTTCAGTTAAAAATCAGGGTTTTGTTTTGTTTTCGGTTTTGGCCGAAATTAAGACAGAAAATTTCGGTAAATAAACCAAAACTAGTTTACACGCACTAGCGAGCATTCGAAAAGTTATATTATCAATAATATTGTATTTTGAGGTATTTGTGTCATAAATTTTGTCAGAAATACTTAAGATATTGAGAATATTTTAATAAATTATTAATAAGATATTATAAAATCTTATTTTTAAAAGAATATATAAATTTCACACATTTTTCTACGATTTTCTGAAAATCATACGGCTTTTGTAAGATTTATTCAACAGTTTCGATTTTGGTTTCGGCCGAAATTGAATAAAAACTGAATATTTGTTTTTGATTTCGGCTGAAACTAAAAAAGTGGTTTCGGTTGGAGTCTAAATAAAATTTATCAAATTTAAAGAAATCGTTTTCTCTGTGTAATAATTCATTCTTACAAAATTCTCTGTCGCTGATCTAAATATGTTATAATTGTATTTGATGTGCTATAAGATTGAAAGTTCCGATTACTTACAACTTCATTCAAATCTTTCTTGTTCTCTCTATCGTAATCATCTTTGTTGAAAGATGAATTATAATTCAGTCCATATCTTAAATGATATTCACAATCTGGTGCAAATGTTGTACAGATTTCAAAAGCAGCGTCTGGATTTAAAGCAATTTTCAGCATCTCGAGACTTCCCTGAATAAATATAAAACGATTTTGTCTTAAGATTTTACAATTGTAAGTTTAATTTTTACCATCATGTCTTAATTAAAGATTTTTACAATCTCTTGAGAAAGGAAATTGTAAAGAATTCTTTATCAACTTGTTTAATTTTTTTTATTGTATATATTATTATTATATAAATATTGAAATTTTTACTCACTAGATATAAATCGCCCTTAAGTTGCTGTCCAATCATGAGGATGCCAGCGATCATTTTTTCAGGGTTTCTCCGCAGCTTTTTCGTGATGTGTCTGTTGCAATCGAGAATAATTGTAACGGCGTCGCCCTTAATACTAACTCCCAATCGATGCCATTGTCCGTCGGAAACATCAACGCCAAAGGAAATCGGTTCATTTCTGTCGTCTGGGTTTGTGCTATAAAAGAGTGTAATGTCGCGTCCCAACGAAAGAATCAACTGTTCTTCGCCATTCTCGCCGTAAATAGTAAAGAGTACCGATGTGGAGTAATCTATGAATATCAATTAAACAGAAGTTTTGATTTGTAAGATAAAAAATAGTAATTTTGAAGTAGTTTCGTTAATAAAGTTCGGTAGCCGTTTAAATAATTTTAGATTCAATAAATATTTGTAAGTGTGCAGTTGTTATAGTTCAATTAATTTTGCAAAATGACCAAATTAATAAAAATGTATATATTTCATATGCATGACAACCATGTTTAAATATTAGAAATCGCTAAAGTTAAAAACTAAAACTCTAATTATTTTCTATTATCTTTTTAAAGAATTTCGAGAAATTTTATTGAAATAATAACATCATTATAGATGCTTTAATAAAAGCACAGATATAAGTACGTCCAATTATAAATAATATTATACCTGCAAATAATTATACATTACCTTTGGATATTGACTCATTTGCTTTCGGTTTTGCAACAACTAAGATAGAGAAATCTTGTGATATGCCAACTGGAAATAGTGCACTGGTAGGAGTCATTAGGATTGCAGCTTCCATAATATCGTACGCGACTGTGTCATCTCTGCAACGACTTTCCGTTCTTCTGACTCCGAAAAGTTGCTCTTGCATCCCCGTAGCTTCAATTATATCTGTCACGTTCTTCGCTGAAATACAAAGAAACTTGCTAAAAAAAACTAAACTAAAAACAGCATCGCGTATAAAGTATAATGTGGCTCTAACGCAATTATTGAGAAAGAAAAAATTAAAGATCAATATTTATTTTCCCAATGTTAAGAGATATCCTAAAGATTTGCTAAATTTTTTTTAACATAACAATTGAATAACTAGCACAAAGCCTAAAATGAGAACGGACAGATATAATAAGCACAACGAACAACTAGAAACCCAGTAACCCGTGAGCCCGCAAGTCGTAACTCAAATCGTTGGAACGAACGTCTGGACCAATTCAAGAAGGCGCCGCTCGACTGCAACATGCAACTCTACATGCAATACATACGCGTCTCAATTAACGCAATAGAGACCAGTTAAAAACACATCTACTGACAATAAACAGCTCATATCATTTAAAAAAATAAGCTTTCTTCTCTCTCTCTCTCTCTCTCTCTCTCTCTCTCTCTCTCTCTCTCTCTCTCTGGCCCT